TAGCGTGGAGAGCAGCAGGAGAGCTGAGGCAGCCCACTGTCACTGCGGGGGGGGGGGGGGGGGGGGGGGGGGGGGGGGCAAAAAGAAAAACTTGAGTCGAGTAGTCTGCATTTTTCAAATAAAAAAGTAAATAAGAACAGTATTTTTGCATTGCAAGGGGCTTTCCAAGTTCTTTCACCACTGAAATGTGTCTTTTCAGTTTTGTTCAACAGCCATAGACCGTATAATAAGTGGACCACACTGAAACATTACCCAATGGTTAGTGGACTACAGTTTTGAAGCCTGGAGTTTGGCGTTTTGGACGTTGCCATCTTGTTTATCGCAACCAAAACTCAATAAGACACGAGAGGGTGGAGCAATGTACAACTGAACACTGAAAAAAAATGCAAAGCCTTACAAATGTTGCATTCACCTTTATGAATGGTTAAAGCGTTCATGTTCTATTCAAAACCCAAAAGTGCACTGAAAATGCCATGTTACGGAGCTGTCAATCACAAGGTAGCCCCACCCTAAAGCATACTGCGTATTCATTTCTTCACTCTAAATGGGACCATCAATCATTAAATGAAAATGCTGAAGTGAAATTAGCTTTTGAGAACATGTTAACTAGGACAATAAATGTTGGATATTAGAGAACATGCATGTTAAAGACACTTGGATGTACCCAAAGTTTGCCAAACGAGATGTTTTAGCAGACTTTCATCCCCATGTTGCTTTTCAATCAAATAAAAGGAGTGATATCAATGTTAGTTTATTGTTTAATCAGTCTTTGACTCAGTTGACAATAGAGTAGATTACTTACAGAATCTAAATATATCTCTCAGAAAATAATACTGTGTTTTGGAAAGAGCATGGTATCTTCCTGTAAATCTCTCACATACAATATATACACATTCTTTTGTATTATACATTATACACTTGCATACACAGTCACAAAAAGCATCACATCTGAAAAAGTGGACTCTTGAGGTTTTGCCGTTCAAATAGTTAAAATGCATCTGTATACATTCGACACACGAGAACTTGGAGGGTGTTTTTACACTTCTGGTCTCTTCAGCAATTTAACTGAGCGCAGTGATTATTATTCAAATGTCTTCGCCCTGATGTGAGATTATGGCCCCTCTGGAATAATAAACCAAACTCAGGCTGCAGCAGTAATCTGAGTTGGGTCGGATTTTGGGCTCAAATTGATCTCTCTTTTTTTATTTATCCAGTTGTGTGCATCGTCCATTGTTGCTGATTGCTCATTATTACGCCTGCCAAGAAGTTGGTTTTAAGTCCCGTCTCTTACTTACTTTAGATATTTAAAGAGACATTCAGATTTAGATGGCACATATCAACTCAAGCAATCTTGCAAAACGTGGCGGTGTGTAAAGGCAACATGGTAAAGTTAGATAATCAATCGGAGTAAGAATACTTTATCCTGGGGGGGGTGAATATTTGGACTGACAGGTGAATGCCTTTAAATGTAATTATCAAAAATACATGTTATTTCTTAGTTGGATGTCTGAATGAAAATAAAGTAAGTTACATCTGGATAAATTGCAACAAAATACCAATTGGAACATGTTCAAATGTCACACTCAACAATAGAATCTTTTTAAATCAAGTGTCATTGTAGGCCCTTTTCTCAAATAATAGTTGGGGGTTTCAATAATTGCATAACAGAAGTGCACCAATTCTGGGCTGATAATGAACACCAATACAAATGCTGCTTACACGTCCTCCATGAGACATTCACAAACAACTTGTCATCTGACCGTGTGCTACTGTTTGCCTTACAATCCCAAATGCATTAGGACTTTGATCCGAGTTCAAATAATGATTCACTGTGTCACGATTTGTTACGGGCCGGCACATATTGCAGCACATAATGTAAACACACAGCCTCAGTGGCAAATAAACAGTCCTTCTCACTGATTGATTGTGGATACACCAACAGAAGGTGGGGCTCTGCAGCGAACCGTTTCATACCCCACGTGGACAAAAAGATCCCTAGGTGTTAAAGAAAATGTGTGATATATTGTGAATGTTAACAGATGTATGATAAGCATTGAATCTATTTAGCACATGCGGCATTTACAGTGAAAGTCAAAAACACATTTGAAGGTGTAAACTGTCTACAAATATATATGATTGTTATTTATTTAGCATTTGAGTGAACAAAAACCAGTGTGCTCACTTTCTACTTGTCTTCAAGTGAATGCCCCACCTCGCTGCATGTATCTGTTCACAGGGAGATTCACAAACTGGCCAGTAATGCAGTGATGCAACAGACCTCAAGCAAAAGCAAGTTTTCATTCTAATTTCCAAACTGGTGTCCAGTCCGTTAGCTTCGTGGCTTTAACGGGGAAAGTGCAGATGACCTGGAGCAGCATGGCAGTTTCAAATCTGCTGTTTGCAGGTGCTTGACAGGCGAGTCATACTTCATGTGTGGAGGTTTTTGAAATGTGAACTAGTCAGGCTTCATGTGTCCACTGGACAAAACTTCCCAAACGCTCTCACAATGCGGGGAATGTCCATGCTTCCTCCTCAGGGCCGGCTCTGTGACGCTGTGGGGACTTCACCATGTGAGGCCTTCATGTATATATCCTTAACCAATCACATACTGGACTGAGGCTCTCATTTTGAAAGAGTGGATTTGAGCTGCTTATGCTTGACAGGTGATGTGATTTCAGCAGAGATCACAAGAGGTATACCGGTTACGACTGAACCCTGAATAATGTGTGTCATGTAGTTTGTGTGACTTTAAAGTGATGTATATTAATTGTTTATGCAAACGTGTTACCTGTGTGCCGTGTTATTTAACATCCCCTTAGCAGAAGCTACGTGTAGGTGCCGAGAAAGAAAATAGCTTTTGAAATGAAGAAACCATCCATGTTGTACTCTACCTTTACAAATGAGAAGATGATTTGCTCTGATTATGAGGAATCACACATTTTAGTTCAAGATGAATCAGCTCTGTAAATTCAGAGCTGTCATCTCATTCAAGTGGACAAGGCTTTTAGTTTGAGGGCGATACAACACTGATGTTCACTGGCAGCACAGAACGTGGGTCGGCAATGTTGACACATAATCAAATTCAAATGTTTTAGCTTGGTGGTTCTGCTAGTGTGTCAGGAGAAAGCATCATGAATGATTTCATTATTCGTGTTTGGACTTCAATTGTATATCATTATTGCAAGCCTCTTTACCATTTAATCAGTAGAGGTATTAGCAATCGTATATATCAACAGTTGCTTTTTAAGTTAGAAATTCAAACTAACACATCCTTTAAATTCTTTCCAAAATGTATCTAAATCCTATTTCTCAACAGTCAACATTTTATTTCTCGATACTTGTGGGAATGTTTGGTTTAGATTACTCTTAAAGGTGGGGTAGGTAAGTTTGAGAAACCGGCTCGAGATACACTTTTTGTTATACTCCATGGAATGCTCTTAACATCTCGATAGCAATGAATATCTGAAGTGCTTTGACAAAAAATCCATACAAAAAAATGTCATCTGTGGAAGCCGTAGTACTGTAAAAAGCACGACCAATCATTTTAGCCAACCCGGCTAAAATAACTGGATGGCCTACCTGCCTGTCAGCCTTCCATCGGGGCACAAACTTATCTCGTGCCCTCATTGGTCATGTGCGCGTTCCTGTGTGTTGGAGGAGGGGCTCTGGAAGGAAGTGGCAGATTTCTTCCGGCTGTGTATTTTCTAATTCTAGCGCACTCGAGCTGGTTTCTCCAAAATTACCTACCCCACCTTTAACTTGATCTTTCTTAAAACATTGACTTCTATTCGAACAATTGCATATATTGAATTTAATTCATTTTTAAATCATTAATCATTAATTCATTTTGATCAATTTGACACATTATAATTCCAAGTCGACATATCCATAATGTCATTTTGACGAGTCCTAAGCAATATCTAAAACTAAATTCTCACTTATCAAACTGTTACATTTATATTCAGAACTCACTTTTTAAATGTTCTTTGAAGATATCTTGATCGTTGTAATTTGTAACAATGTCAAATTAGGGCTGTGCAATTAATCGTATTTTAATCGCGATTACGATTATGGCTTGCGACGATTATGAAAACAGCATAATTGACAAAATACGATTATTTTGCTGGGTGCGCTTCACCCCTCCCTAAAAGCCCACTCGGCCACGTGGGAGTGAAATGTGTTGTGAGTGTTCAGCTCGAGCGAAGATGTCAGAACAAGAGCAGCAACTCGTTAAAAAAGAAGGGTAAAACTATTTCCACTATTTGCAAGTACTTTGCCATTACATTCCACATCGCTAAAGATATGTGCACTGTTAGCAACCAGGGCTTTAAGCAACTTGTCAACACGTTGGACAAGCGTTACGCGATGCCGTCTCGGTATTATTTCAGCAGGTCTGCGCTGCCTGCACTATATGACAAATGCCGTGGGGAAGTTGAGAGAGATGTGGCTTCAGCTGACTACTTTGCCACCACAACAGACCTATGGTCTAGCCCAGGGGTGCCCAACCAGTCGATCGCGAGATGTGTCTAAAAATAGAACAACAATATTCTGTTTTATCGTTAATGTCCTGTAACATAATCTTCCTGTGCCAGAATAATGCACTTGAACGCATCAAAGCTTTGTGATTGGCCGGCGTCACCCCTGTGTCGGGGCGTGGCTGAGGGTCTTCAGTACAGGTGGCAATATTGTCACCTGCCTGCGCTCATCTCTGAAACCAGACCATGTAAACAGGCTGCTGTTTCTTGCAAAGCATCTTTAAGAGATGACATGAGCAGTCCTACCAGCATTTGCCATGGTGGCCTAAACATTTTTATTTGGTCTTAAATTGTAGTTCAACATTTATTTCCTGTTACTTCTGGACCATGACGGTTGGCCAGCCTTCAACGTTTAACTGAGTGGAATATGTTGAATATGTTTTACCAAAATGTTGGCTATATGTTAACGAGTTTTCAGTAGGTTGTGACAGTGCACTGCATCATATTTGATTTAATTTAGTCTAATTTATTTTTATTTATCATATTAATATATGTTTAGTATGGTTTTGGAAGTGCGCTCCAACATATTTGTTGATCTTGTTTATTGGTAAAATATTATTTGTTTTAAAGTTCAATAAATGGTCAATGAATAATCGTCAAAATAATCGTGATATCAATTATTGACCCAAATAATCGTGATTATGATTTTTGCCATAATCGCACAGCCCTATGTCAAATCTGCTTTACAGATATCGGCATTACATATTAAAACTAGTCGACATGACATTTGACACTTCCACTGGTAAAAACAGAATCGCTCCTTGAAAGCCAGGCTGATTAAATGTTAAAAGGGCAATGTGACTCTACAGTGAAATCAGGAATAGGTCAAACTTGTTCTCAGAATATTAATAACACAGCCGATGCAGGAGGCCGCACAGACTGCAATGACAGAGTGCTCGCCTGTTTGTGTGAAAACACCGCGCTGGGTAGTTAATGTGCCAATTTACCGCCCTCAAACTAGAAGCTTATGTGTCTTAGTGGAGAGCTTCACTCAGTGACAACAAATAACAGCACTTAGTGGTTCTTGCTTTGTTTGTCCTCTCCCTGCAGAACTGAGCAGATCAGGTTCTGGAAGGTGAAGGATATTCCACAGTTAGCTACGTCGCTCTTAACCCAGTCCAGAGCAGCGAGGGAGCTCCATCAGATACTGGCTCCTTTAGGGGGGGGGGGATAAGTGCCGGCTATGCCAAGAGCTTGAAAAAGTGGTAGTTAGAGGGCCGTGGGTAACAATCTCCCAGGATGGGGTCTCACGTCACCACTTGCTGCACTGTGGAGCGTTCAGGAGGGCAGGACTGGGTTCTGCAGCGCAGCCTCCTGAGCAGCCGCTGGAGCTTGTTAGAAAAGTTTTTGTTCATCTGTCGATACATGAGAGGCATCGCAAAGCTGCTGGAGAACGCCAGCAGCTTGGACACGCATCTCAGAAAGTTATATGTGGGTAAGTAATGTGTGTTGCTAATGTACCCCGGTGCTCCGGCCACAGTGTGTACCAGCAGGGTCATGTAGTACGGCGTCCACAGCACAAACTGCACACACACGGAGGCCAGCAGCAGTCTGTGGATGGAGGGGTCCAGGCGGGCCGAGTCCTGGTCCAGGGGCGTGGACTCCTTCCTGATGCGCAGGATGAGCACGAAGGCGTAAAAAACGGCCACGGCGGGAACCACGTAGCCGATGAACATCATGATGGCGTCCGCCGCCTCCTTGTTCTGCATTTTGGAGCACTCCACCATCTTGGTGGAGATGTGGTTGCACACGTAGAAGAGCAGCGAGGAGAAGCTGGTGAGCACGGCGCCGCCCCAGATGAAGCCGCACACGTGCTTGGTGTTGTACACGCTGGACATGTACGTGCGAGGCAGCGCCCGCTCGATGTAGTAGTCCAGACTGAGCAGCGTGGTGGAGTACATGATGACCAGGGAGGAGATGTTGAAGAGGATGAGCAGGGTGATGTACACCTCGTTGTTGTACTCCCACGCGTGCCAGCGGGTGAAGGAGGAGTTCAGCAGCTCCACGGGCGCCACCAGGTTGAGCACCAGGCCCGCGATAGCCATGTTGACGAAATAAACATCCGGCATGGTCATGGAGACCTTGTTGGAGAGGTTGACCACGATAAGCAGCACGTTGTAGCACAGCCCCAACGGGAAGCACACCAGGAGGTAGATGAGGGAGAACACGGACAGGAAGAGGCCGAAGTCCTGGCAGAGCCGGAAGTCCACGCTGGTGTCCGTCTCATTGTAAACCATGCAGAGCCACATCGCTCTGACTCTGGGCGCTTCGCTCAACAGATCCACTGCAGGCAGAGTGAGGGAGACACAAGTTAGTTGCGGAACAGATACATAACGTCAAAGTTGCAAATAATTGGCAGTAAAAATAAGAGCTGGCAAATATCTATGGCTGCAACAATTCTTCTAGACAAGCTATGATTGCTGTCCATTCAACTTAAGAACGTTTTGATTCCAAAAGAGATAATAAAATCCTAATATTTTGATGATAAAAGTGCAAGAAATATTGCAAGACACCTTATCATATGCAAACATAGACATACTGTACACACAGACATACAGGCCTTAAAGCCTATTTTCAACTTTAGAAAAGGACACAGCCGATCTAGGTAATAGTGGTTACGGTTTTTTTTTATGCAAGGAAGTCGATTAAGCCAACAATTATTTTCTAGATGAACCGATTTGTGTAAATTGTAGGGCTGCTCGATTATGGCAAAAATCATAATCTCGATTATTTGGGTCAATAAATTGATATCACGATTATTAAAAAACGATTATCCATTTACTTGAAAAAAAAAATGTGAACAGTATGTTTTTAACAGTTGATTATCCTGAACTTTAAGTATAATTCAACTAAAATTTTTTTTTTTAAAAATCGCTTTATTTCAATTATTTTGTTTTCATAATCGTTGCAAGCCAAAATCGTAATTGCGATTAAAATACGATCAATTGAGCAGCCCTAGTAAATTGTCGGAAAAAGTGAAAACTATCCATCCTAAATTGGAGGTGATGTTTATAAATGTCTTCTTTGTTAGTCCAAAACTCAAAGATGTTCACTTTAATAAAACATAAACCAGGAGAAAGCAGGAAATCGCCAATTTGAGATCATTTTCTGACAGATATGCAAGAAAAATGTACTAAAACGATTGTAGGATTATCAAAATAGTGGTAAATATATGGTAAACTATCAATAGAACTACCAGTACTTTCATATGGCATTTCATTGAAATTCAAAGAAAAGAACAGCATGCAGTTTCATTTCCGTGTGTGAGACCAATAAGATACAGAACATTATAATATACCCTGTATAGTGTATATTATCACTCTATTGTGAGGAAAGGAAATTAAAGCAATACCACAATTATAAAACATAAACTCACATCGTAATTCACGTGAGCTTATGTGGACATACGTTTGATGTATTATGGATATGTTTTATGTGCGGCTCTGCGTGTGTGTTCCGTGTTTTGCTTGGCGGCAATAAAAAATGTAACAAGTTTAAGCTGAGAGTTGAAAATCCCAGCGGACATTACTCACTTATTATATTACTGAAGTCAAACTCTCTGTTGCTGGCAATTATAAGTATTAGTCCAAGTTTTGAGGAAGTCACAACAAAACAAACCACAGTCACTTGTTTTTCCCCTCCATGAGCAAAATGGAATTGGTTTCTTGGAACAAACAAGGCCTTGACACACACAAAAAAAACACGTCAGCCACGGCACAGCTATTGTACCCTGGGTAACACTGTTAATTTCACTTCACTGCATCTGACTGGCTGAATACAAACGCCTCACAATATGTCTCGTTTCGAAACCCACTCGTTCTCCTCTTTCAGAGCCACACCGGGGCCGAGCAAGTGTTTGACGCCTCTGCAAGCCTTTCCTGTCTCGCTCGACCGCTCTCTCCCTCTCCCTCTCCCTCTCACTGTCACATGCGGGGGCATTGCTAGCTGCGCAGTGCTGCCCTTGTGCTTTTCACATGGTCAAGCAGCCAGGACAAAAAAACAAACACTTTTCTTGCCTGGCACTTTATACTATAGACTGCTCCAGAGGTGGGAAGTAACTAAGTACATTTACTCAAGCACTGTACTTAAGTATAACTTTTTAGATACTTGTAGTTTACTTGAGTATTTCCATGTTATGCTACGTTGTACTTCTACTCCACTACAGTTCCGAGGTAAATCGTGCTCCACTACATTTCTTTATTTACTTTACATATTTGGATTAATGATGTGAAATATAAACGACACTTAAGACTGTAGCTACACCTGGAGTAGCATTCACAAGCTACCCTGGCTGCAGTATATACAAAGAAGTGGGGGGCACGTGGTGATGGGTAGATTTATAAAGAGTTAAATGTGAAGCAGGCTCTGGCGGAGGGTCGGCTAGGATCAAGGCGCGGGGTTGGAGTTCACGGTGAGGTCAGAGAAGATGACTGCGCGCACGTTGGGAGTGTTTGAGAGCGAGCCTGACAGGCCTGCAGGATTTGAAAAGGTTGTGTAATGCTGCCTGCATAATTAACTCAGGTCACTTTAAGTCAGGGGTGGGGAACCTCCGGCCTCCGGGCCGTATACGGCCCGCGAGACAATTTGGTACGACCCTCGAGGTAATTTATAAACACACGCAAAAAAGAAAAAAATGTAAGAAATCTAGACCGCAAAAAAATTAAACAAGCGAGTGCCTGTTTTTCCTGGCCAAGGTCAGGGTCCTTGAACACAACACGAGCCTAACGTGTCATCACGTGGTATATGTCTCGACTGACGGGTGCAGTTCTTACGGAGAGCACCAGAACGCCGCTCCGGCACTTCAGAAATGGCAGTACCGATAAGGACCGTACACATGCCGCAGTTTCTGCGTGTCTGTGTCTTTAGTTGAAAGCCCAGTGGCGATCTGTTCATCTGTCATTCTGATCATACAGTCAATAACTTTGTAGTTATTAGCATCTGGTTAGCTAGCTATGCTAACGAATATAAGAAGCTTTTTCTACAACCAGTGAGGTAAAGGCACATCTTTATATGATCATTATTATAAAAAAATAAGATAATAAAGTAAACAGGTATCAAATACTATATGACAGTAAAAAAAAGTTTGAAAGGGGAGTGATTTGTCATATTCATAAAGAAAAATAAATCTGCTTCCAGTTCTGTTTCATCTGGGTGTTGAGAGATGTATCCATAGATCTCCTAATGTTGCTCCCAAAGTGCACCAGATTGATGCTTTTAACTTCAACATTTAAATGTTTTTTTTTTTTTTAAATCTTCCCCGGGGGAGAGGAGGTTAGGTCCCCCCCCACTTAAATCATGTTCACATGGATAGGAAACTAAATACATTTGTACACATCTTGTGTCCAATCTTTCTGTTTTGGTGGTCACGCCACACCGTGCACGTGCATACGCGAGTCATGGTGAGATATCTGGATTCAGAGGTTTTCTTTGCACAGAATGAAATGAATGGGCTGTGATTTTAGTTTTTTTAAGCAGAGGTCAATAATTTGTACGGCCCTCTGAGGATATTGTAAAAATTGAAATGGCCCTTGAGAGGAAAAAGGTTCCCCACCCCTGGTTTAAGTGAATTATTCAAACAGCTTCAGTGAAGGAAACGGGAGATCACAGGGCTATCGCAGGGCCGCAGTGATAAGTCATCTAAGCAGTGTCACAGTGTTTTATTTCCTCAGTGACAATTTTAGCAGTTGGGGTTTCCACATGTTTGGCTTCAGTCCCGAAGCTGCTTTAAAAAAGGGAAAAATAAAGAGCATAACACTTCTTTTTTTTTTTTAAACCTATCGTACTCCCAAAGCCTCCCCCTTGAAAATGCTGCGGAACAAAGTGCAGGAAGGCAGTTTTGTTTTCTCGGAGGATGAGTAACGATGCCAGTTAAGGGGAAACATTCTTCTGTTCACTTACGTAACACCACTACTCAGGGGCTGTTTTGGCCTGAAGCCTCACACACACAAGGTCCCTCCTCTATACTACTCCAATTGGCTGTAATGGGACTATTATAGAGGCTGGGGCTCAGAGCTGGAAAGTGTAGAGTTACTCTTTACAAAACAACCTGTCCTCACTAAGACAGGAGCCCCGCTCAGATGTCTTGTAAACACGACTCTCTAACGTAAGCAGCTAGGTGACTCATTTACTATGAACAGGCCTTGACACAAGAACATAATCAGCTATGGTGCTCTCCCATAGATGATGTGCTTCTCTCTAAATTGGAAGACGTTTGTTTATCTTTTACTGCTTTAACATCGTCTTATCACTTAAGGAGAAAATGACTTAAGAATAGCTGGTGAGACTAAAGGCATTGTGGTCGGTCGTCCCCATTCATTAGCACCTGCTGTGTACGGATGGTTTAGCCACCCTTTCATTAGCACATTGGCTCTACTACTTCTAAGAGCTTCCTTACAGTCTGGGTAAAGACAGTGTTAGCCTAGTGTTTGACACAAGACAAAGACAAAGACAAAGACAAAGCGATGGGGGAATATAGATGAATTCTAACGCTATGACATTTACATTTTGCAATTTACTGGTAAACCGAAAACTGAAACTGGAATTTTAAACGTTCACTTACTCGAAGTGAAACAAATTTGACATTGTGTGCACATATGATTAATTTTCCACTTTTTAAACCACTCAAGGAATAGATACAATGCAATAAGGTTGTGACACCTTGAAAGAGAAGAACATGCTGGTATTAGTAAGCAATACCACAGCAATTTCTCTAATTCACTGCACAATAAATCACATTTAGATATTATAGCCTTAAAGGTGGGGTAAGTTTGAGAAACCGGCTCGAGATACGCTTTTTGTTATATTCCATGGAATGCTCTTAACATCCGATAGCAATAAATATCTGAAGTGCTTTGACAACAAATCCATAAAAAATTAATCTCTGGAAGCCGTAGTACTGTAAAAAGCACGACCAATCATCTGAGCCGGCCCGGCTAAAGTAACTGGATGGCCTACCTGCCTGTCAGCCTTCCATCTGTGCACAAACTTATCTCGTGCCCTCATTGGTCATGTGCGCGTTCGTGTGTGTTGGAGGAGGGGCTCTGTAAGGAAGTGGCAGATTTTGTGTATTTTTAAATTCTAGCGCACTCGAGCTGGTTTCTCCAAAATGACCTACCCCACCTTCTTTAACTAATCAATGTTTTTAATAATAGCTTTCATATTTAACTTGTGAATAACCACTGCTAGCGTTGCTGTGTCTGAATCAAATCACTCTGAGCAAACTCTGCTTTGGTGTTGTCATGCACTTTAGCTCTGCACAGTTTGCCAGCAGCCCATGATAATAAAATCTCTACTTTTCCACTCCACTGAGGGAAGCGAGGTGAAAGAAAAACGTCTCCTCCTACTCATATATGAGCGACAGTATGTCTGTTTGAATTCAGAGTGATCAGGTCCAATTTGAAGCTCATGCTAGTTTCTGCCACATACAGATGGAAGTGATGCAGAACAGAGTTGAGTTAAGGTCAGAGGTACGCTGTTCAAATAAACAGGAACAGGAGCTATATTCTGCTATTATTCAAACATGTGTACTTCCTTATAAAGTTCTCTTTGAAGAATATGTATGCAGTCATTTAACAATGCATATTAGTTATTGAAGAATGCATGCAAGTATGCAACAATAAGTTCAGGAGAAGGTGGCTTTTGAATATCCTAAAGGAGGCTAATGTAAAGGACATTGCCAAGTAAGAATAGCCTAAGCTCTAGTGAGAGTTCTTCTTGCACGACTTGGACTGCAGTTGTAGACTTGGTTAAGCCCCTTCTGAACTTTTTGCCTCAGTCCGTGTCAAAAGCGGTTAAGTTAAATATTCCCAGAGGAGTGGGGGGGTGTGTTCCAGCGCGCTTCAGTCCTCCAAACATTATCTCGTAAGAGTGACGCCCACGTGCTTGACGTCTGAGCATTTTGAAGGCCAGATATCGCCGTCTGATGGGAGTTAGTGTGACATTCTGGGCCCACACCCCTCATATATCTTTACTGGAATTTACAGGCTCTTCTCAGAAAGTACTGAGTGATGTCACATGATTCGCTCCTTGCGTCTGTAGCAGCGTGCAGGGGAGCAGCAACTACAGAGAGAACATACATGACTCACATTTGCACATGCAGTGACGGCAGCAATGTCAGAAGCAAAGTAAAACAGAATCACATTGATTCATGAAGTTTCTTAGCAATTTAATAAGTATAATGAGTATCTACCCACATAACTGCTAAACTACTTACAGTATGAGAGGCCATTAAGATGCCTATTATTCCAGTCCCTAAATCTTTCCGGTTTAAGTGAATTTCTAAACCTTTTGTTCTTGGAAAGCAGTCTATTAACAGAGATTATTAATGAGCCATCTGACTTCATTTCAGTCATTCATGACTAACATTTTGTAAATGAATATCACCAAGGGGTGATTCAAATACTTTACCGATTAAAGTGGAAGGGTTTAATATAATCGTGACATTTTTCCCCAAATCATCATTGGTCCCTAAAGGCCAACTGACACCAAAGAACACGTCCCGACGGACCCGACGGTCGCCTCACGTCTTGGCTAACAGTCGCACTGGAACACACCGCAAAGACTTCAGCCGACGGCCAAGTAGCACGTATGCACTGCGCATGCGTGAGTGGCAATAACTCTCCTTACCAGCAGGCGGCGGTAGTGTGTATTCTTAATTCATAAGAGGCAACCGGAAGACAGACTGCGTGATATACAAACAACAAATAGCGTGCGTTCCATTTTCACTCTCGTCCATCACAGACTGTTTCACATAACAACTTATAATCGAAAACATGTTTAGTGCGGTACTGGAAAATGAAAAATAATAGCCATCTGTGTGTGCCTTCTTCACTTCCGTTTTGCTTCTCATGCACTGATTCGCTAAGCTGCGCAGCCAATCAGAGTGATTTCTTCAGCCTACGAAAGGCGTCGGCACGGCCGAAAAGACACGATGGTGCTGGACACACCAATCTGAGTAGGGCGACAGGACGCTCATCGACATCTATCGATGGCCGAAATCGGCCTGGTGTGTCCGAGCGCTGGAATTTTGTTGCAGGAAAGATAACTTAAGATATTAATTCCTCAAAAAGAAAACAGACTTTTAAGCAAACTGATCAAACAGGTCACTTATCTACCTGTCCACTATTTAAAAATCTTGACAGGTTTATCGCAGAAACGGTCCAAAATGTTGACGATTGAATTGACTCAAGAGGGAGTTGAACAATGTCTTGGCAGTAGTCATGCTTCATATGAACTTCCAGGGTAAGAAACTCTGGTCAAGCACAGGTCACAGCCTGTCAAGACAGCTTCCTCAGCGTCTTTTTGGCAACATGTTGAACTGTGACAGGCATCAACAAAGTCAGAGTTCAATGGTCAGCACAAAGCAGGCTTACCGCCATTAAGCCATGGCCCACACGACCCATGTCCCCTTCAGTCACACGGATGAAGTTGACGACAACAAGTGCAAAGCCTAAATCTCAAGATGCATTTAATTTGGTGGGACCGTAAAGACTTCTCTGATCTGAACTACTTTGTCAGAAAGGAGCGTTCACTTGTCTTCCTGGTTGCAGAGTCAAACATGATTAGAAAGTAAGGGTCACAAATGATTAAATGATGTCTTCTAAAGCTGATTAAAAAGTCTTCATATCATTTTTCAAAATAAAAGGTGTCAAGTTGGGTCAAAAAAACACTATCATTACATGGAATATATTCTATGATTTGTGAGTACAAGCATCTATCATTTATATAATTCTTCAACAAGTATGATCCTATATCGTATGGATGTTCAAACGAATAAACATATCTAAAAACGTAGTAATTACTCATTGATGGCCTGGTATTTACGAACAAAGGCTGCCTTCATCTTTGAGTCTTCTAGTTATAAGCATCACATATGGTTAATTAACTATGACATCTGATTACCTCTATTCCCAATGGCAGATGTCATGTTAACAAGAGTCATATAGGCTATTATTCAAGCAAAGACAAGTCTATATTTAAAGCCACACTTTCTATTGACAGTGAGGGACTTTTAAACTTCAAGACCTCTGATTAATCTGATAACAACTTTTTTCCCAGCACTTTGAGAAAACTGTGGTGTTGTTTTCCAAATATAAACGCGTCGTTAAAACAGTGGAGTTACTACAGCCGAACAAGCGTAAGAACAACAAACCAGCCTTTCTATCGTGGTGTCTATTTATTATTGCGCACATCATGTCTCTCCATCACACTTGACTGCACAGTTCAAAGCGTGCGGAGCTGTCACGGCTCTTACCATTATTCTACCATTTTCTGCGGCTATTGTTGGCACAGTCACTCAACATCGCATCTACTCATCCTCGATGGAGAAAACTCACTTTTCTACAACTGTAAGGTGAATATTCAAGGCACCCTGAATCTCATTAGTTGGCGAAATTATAAAAAAGAGGAAAACTCACCAGAAACGTATATATTTGGCTCGGTGGCAAACCTACGGCGGCATTGGGTTTGGATGTAGCATTTCCACTGGCATTTCTCAGTCGTTTCATTTCACAAACGCGCTCCTAAAATACACACTTCAGCTTCCCACGCGCTCTTAAAGCCTAAAAAGAACCGTTTTACTGGCTTACGGTGGAGACTGAGTTTATCTATCAACTTTTCGGACGAGGCTTGTTCTGAAAAGGGGCCGTCCGTTGCAGACTTTACTACTGCAAAGTGCTGCTGAGCCTACACTAGTGTGTACACACGTGACCCTCCCCCACCGTCTCCTCTCTGCTCTACGGTCGCGAGGCCCCAATGGACGTTGTCTGCTCTGATTGGACGCTGGGCTGGGAGGTGGGGCTTGAGGGAGTTTGAGGGGAACACACACATACACCAAACACACATACATTCAAACCTTCACGTTGATAAATATGTCACAATTTGTTAGAACAATTTAACTAATAGTAAGTAGGCTACCCTATCTATCAGTGTCACTTCCTGAGTGATATATCTGAATGGTGTGCTGCAGTTGCAAATTGCATCTTGTTTGTGTGTTGTGTTACTACATGATGTGTTGTCCTTAACCTGAACCCAACCCTAACCTTAAAACATTACTAACCTAAAAAAAAGCACACAAAAAAAACATTTGAATATAAATTACTCACCTCGTGATACCTTCAATTATTGAAGAAAACTTGGCATTCCTCTACGATCAAATCATCACAAAATTAAGAAAGTCTTAATTGAATCAAGGTAAATAAGGGCAGTGCTTAACAACAGCAAAACAACAGATCTGTTAGCAAACTCTTAAGCAACACATTCAGTATGATCCAAGTCTAATTTATTTCTAATTATATTGCACATGTTAGTACATGTAGGCCTACAGTATGTTTGCTCAGTTCTTACTATTTAATAAAATATTTTAAACTTCCAAGATTTCACTTTTTTTCAATGTGCAAATCTATAAGAACAGGTGGATGGTAGGGCAACTTCTGAAAGTGCATAACAAAGAGATAATTGTGAACAGGAATTACTGTACAGTGAACACATCCAGTTTTAATGTTCTTTTTGGCACCTGGCTATTCATTTCAGAGTCAGAAAGAAATGTTGAACCTACCCTTTAACCCAACCAGATATCACCCTGAACATGAGGTCATACTGAAAAACAGCAGCGCATTAAAACAACACCAGGGACTATATTAGTGGGGTTGTGTTTTTTCAGGATCTGGCGAGATATGAACTAAATCTATAGGGACAATAAAATATCCATGATTTCCAACGTTTTTCAGTCATACATTTGCCATAATTGTCATTAATTAGAGGACAAATCCCTGCTTCACACAAAACAATCTTTTGATTTCCTAAAGGTTATCCTGCTTGTCCCATCCCTCAAAATGAAAGAAAATTAAACTCATGTCTGAATGCCCCTAGAGGAAGTATGGTGGCTTCTATTCTAATGAACATAATGAAGAAATGTTTTGTAGTGAAGCAGACTGTGTTTTTCGCCTTTGGGAATTAATACATTATGTTAGAAAGATGAAATGCCTGTGTGTTGCTCTGATGAATGGAGCAACAGAAGTTTGCTAAGAAGATTAAGGATTATCATACATTTGCCACAGTTTATAGTGCAAATCATAATCCTGACATAATAGCAAATTATGAAATGAAGTATCAAGCATTTGTGTCTCAACAGCTAATTTCACAATGGATTACTCTGGTATAGTCCGTAATGAGCAAAGTTACTTAATAACTCAGTTGTTTTATTGCTGCAAACACTCACATATACATTTTCTGTCTTTTGCTTAGCTGGTTACACATTATCCATGCTGCATTTTGCAAAGCCAGTGACACATTGGATTTTAATCACCCAAATAATTTGCAACCATTTCAAGGTTTTATAGTGATCAAGCTATCATCAAAGCACAACATTAATGTCATGTTCAATTTTAATATCACTAACTTATAAAACCTTATTTGATCCTGCTAAGCTCCACAGGTCTGTGATAACATGGCCCCTGCAGCGGTAACATCAGGTCTTAATCAGGGCTTCACTTTGTACAGATCCATCCCTCAATTTCCTGCTCAGCACCTGAGGGGAAAGAGGCATAGAGCAACAAAGCCCTAGAGTGAAACCCTGAAGGTCCACAGTGTGAAAAGAACCTGGAAGCAGATATTTCATTACAATCTCAACTTATCGGTGACCCTTCAGCTCTCCTTGCATGTAATGGATTAGTTCTAGGTCGGCAATAAAAATGAAAAACAGTAGTGAAAGATTTTTGGAATGCACAGCTTCAAAACAGAAAAGCCTTGCCATGGCTTAGTGAGCGAACTGGAGTTTTATCGAGTGTGTAGGAGTGCTGAACATAAGTCTCTAGCACAACTTTGACAGAACTGAAGCAGAGAAATTGGAATGAAATAATTTAGTTAGTGTAACCAGAGTTCTAATAGATTCAGTAGCCTCTTCTTCAGTGATAGACGCTACTTAAAAATGCCCTATTTTGCTTTTCGGAGTTTCCCTTTCTTGTAGTGTGTTGTATACTGTAGGTTGTTTCTCTCCCAAACCCTGCCTAAATGCCACGATCAAAGTGACACTAGTGACATATGTAACACTGTCACTTCTATTGGTAAGTGCTCCAACACATTGTATGTGGAAGACTAAGGGGTGGGACATCTCTAAGTGGTTGAACAATCACAACCGAGCCAGCCAGCTAACCAATCAGAGCAGACTGGGGTTCTGGTTTCAGAGAGAGGGTGAAAAGAGGTTCTGCAGCACAGGCAATAGGAGAAAAATAAATAACTTTTTGAACATTAAATGTTACAGTCGAGGCATAAAATAAAAAATATGAACCTGAAAATTAGCTTTTTGGGGCCCCTTTAAAGTTAGAGAATACATAGTACAATTTGATGATTACTGACCCTTCGGTAAATGTAATACAAACTGTTCCCTGGTTATTGCTATCATTGAATCTTATCAGCCTCGGAATAGCAGACAACTCTAAATGTTAACATGAAAATGACATTCACTTTGTCACTTTATCTTCAAAAAGTGCAAATTCCAAGATGAAAATACTTTGTAATATCAGTTGGCAGTAACAGCAGATTAATACAGTGGAAACAATCAATCTTTCCTTTTGCATGTGCTATAGCAATCACTTTTGCAAGAGCTCTGCATCTCAGGAGTGAGTCTTAAATGTCAAGCGTTACACCACAGCTGCAGCGATGATAGAGCCAAATCAGAAGCAAGCATGGTTCAAGAGGAGTATTTTCCTTAGAGGAGCAGGGAGATATCCACCAATTCACTGAAGTATGTATAATGCTGAGGCTCTGGAGGATATGATATAAAAAAACAATTATTACAATTACACCTTTCATCACATTATTACGCAAAGAAAATGGATCAGTATGACCTTTGCATTTACCTACGCTTATGATTCTGCAAATCTTTGACTGCAGAAGTTAAGTATGAGATCCCTCTTGTTCCTGGCCAGCGAGGTTTAATCTGTCCTTTATCTCTGCTTCTTATCAAACCGTAGTAGAACACAGAGGTCTACGCACACATATGTCTATTTCTTCCATCAATTCAACTGTTGACTCTGTTAACTTGTCAGATAAGACATTTTAAGGCCATCATCAGCATTACTTTATTCCTATGCAAAACTCACAACTTTTTTCTTCTTCATTGAATGACATGGGGTAGATATATGATGTTTTCAATTGACAGAGGTTACTAGAATGTTTGCTTGATTTTAAATTAAGATGATTCAAAAATAATAATAGAAACAAGTAAAAGCTAATTCTTCATCACTTACAGTCTCAGCCTGAGTCACTTGAGTGCAAAGGTTGGATGTTAATGCAATGGCAATGATCCCTCAATCTTCAGAGTTTCACAACATTAGTCGGATGTACCCTATTATACTAATGCAAAGCTTAAAGCTTATGTGGCATGTATTGTAATACAAGCCAGGCAGGTGTTTTTTCTCCGAAAGCTATAATAAAGTTCACAATTCTTTAAAATTCCATCCATGTAGATCAGGGGTGTCAAACTCAAGGCCCGGGGGCCAAATCCGGCCTGTGACTTCATTTTCTGTGGCCCCACAAGATCTTGCAAAGAATATTATATGTTTATTATACGGTTACATGATGATTTACAGAAGCACGTTGCCCCTAAACTACATGTCCCACAATGCATCTCAAATTAGACTTTTTTTTCTCAGAATTTGACTTTTTTTCTTAGAATGTGCCCTTTTCTCAGAATTTGACAATTTTTTCAAAATGTCACTTATTTTTTTTGATTTCGACTTTTTTTCCACAATTTGGCTTTTCTTTTTAAATCATTGTGACATTCTCACTGAAGAGACTTGCAATTATTTGCCCCAGACTTCTGCTCTCAGACATAATTATGAAGTTATTACCCTATCTGATAATAATCCAATGCAGAGGCAACAATGTAATATAATACATTATATATATGTATTTGCATATAGTTTTAAAGTTACAACCGGCCCTTTGAGTGCAACCATAATGCTGATGTGGCCCGCGATTAAATTGAGTTTGACAACCCTGATGTAGATAGTGGTTTTAATACCACCAAGCACCTTACTTATCTTAAATTACTAAGTATAACTCAATTAAATAATTCTAGTATATGTGGGAGTTCATTAATACTTTCAATGTTTGAAGATATTTTCTTAATGCGTTTTTAAAAGGATATTTTATATTAACTTAGTGTGCCATCTGAAAACATGTTTTGTTTATTTCTCTATCAAAATAAGGAATAAGTATAGATTTTTGCGCGGCAGTGATGTGCAATCATTTCAGCGGGGGAGAAAGTGAGTGCAAGTGTATAGGCCAGAGTGGACCTTGGGTTTGAGGACTAAGTCACAGTTTATCCCCAATCGAGCTCTGAAATCTGTTCCTATTCCTGGAAGCCTCAGCACAACTGCAAGGCTCTGGTCTGCATTTACTTTCCCTCAAAGACTTAAGGCTGGATGACGACATATGGCTTGTTTACAAATGAAAGTCTACACTTAGCCTCAGACAGCCCCGGATTCATGTGAGCTGTTTGCACAGTCGCTTAGGCAGCAGATGGTCAAAGACACGTAATGTGAGTCTAATGATAATGATTAAACCACAGTGTCTGCAGGCACACTGACATCTTTCAATATTTCAAATGATCATGACTCAAAGATAACTGCTCCAATAATAGAGATGTTACTGTATCAAAACAAGATGATGTCAGGAAGTAATGACCAATCACAACAGCAGAC